TTTCAAATAAGGGATGTAGTTTTAACCAGTGCTCCGCCTTTAGGCTTACCTTATCGCAAACTAGCGATAGGACAAATTTTTGTCGTGACATCAGTGTACGTTTCTTCGAACACGTAATAAACTAGTGGGTATGGATAGTGGTATCCCAAGCATTTTTATGGGGATGGGGGAAGAGATGCATACGTTTTCATAACTCAGTTGGTAAAGCATTGCAGCGCTAACGAAGACTATGGGTTCGAATCCCGATAAAGCCCTGCTTTTTTTTCGGGTTAATATGCAGTTGCTAAAAATATCATTACAACTGCGACGATCATATCTTCTTTAAAATTGGAATAGCTTCCACTTTTTGTTGCTCTGAGTTCAAAATTTAAAATTTCCTCTTCCACTTTCTCTCTCCTTTCTCTTTGTCAATGATAGCAGTTGGTAAGTCCGACAGAAGATGGAGCAGTGACCCTCTGAGAGGTAAGTCGTCGGCTTATAAAATCTGTTAGGATTTTATCAGCAGAGAGCAAGAAAAACAAAACCAAATTCACTTAACTGGTGTTTCGAAGACCAATCATGGAGGCAACAAACCTATCTAACTGAATTCCCCCCAAACGCATTCATTCGCATTCACCTTTCCATTTTCTTCAGCATGCAGGTGAATTGGCCTTCGATTATTTGGACATTGGTGTTTACAGACTAAGCTTGCATTAAGGATGGAAAGTGGTTTTTTTCGAGTTTTACCTGCGATGTCAAGATTTATAAATTTTGCGTCGTCAAGATAATTGGCATGAATGAGTTATGCATTGCCTTCTCGTGGTATACCCTGAATATTCCACAATTGACTTGATTTTTCTTTATATGTATGGTTAGTCACACCTTAAGGTTAACATATTGAGACAAATCAATTTAAGTCAATCGTGGAATATTTCACTGTGAAGCAATCGGAAGCAGACAACAAGTATGCAGACCTTAAAAAACAATGTTAATATGTTCAAAACTCAAGTGAGACCATGAGCCACTGGCGAGTAGTTTAAATTCAAAATATTGAACATTTTGACATTAAGTTAAATTACTTTTTGCCGACATTAATACAGCCTCGTAGACAAGTATGGAAAAATCCTCATTGCTTCCAAGATGTTGTGAAGGTAACCAAGCCCTACATTTGCCGAGTGTGATACTACCCGTTGCATACCAAGGATTATTATATACATACTGAGAAAAACTCACCAAAAAGCTATGTCGTAAATTTAGTAAAAAAATTAGTTCTAGCCAATCAGAGGAGCGAACGATGGTTTTCACACGTTAAAAAAAAAAGTGATACGTCCAATCAGAATCGCGAACGATGTTTTTTCACGTGTGAGAAAAATGATACGTCCAATCAGAAGCCACAGGGGTGTGTGAATTTCGCGCCAGAATTCCCGCCTTTTATTGCAGCTTGCAGCGCCGCTTCGCACACATTCAACGAGAAAAATTTTACTCAAAGAGTTTTTCTCGGTAAAAATGTGAAAAACATTTCCGAAATGGAGTGGAATAGTTTCGTTTGTTTCACTGTCGATAAAGAAAACGGTAGAGAGCCGGCGAAACAACAGCGGAAAGGGAAAAACAGAACGAGACGTAAGACATTGTGTTGTGCTATTTTTCGGAGCTACTTTGCCTATCATTTAAGCTTAAGCTTATATTTAAACCGGCCATTTTACTTAAATTCACTCATTTTCAATTGTGCATTGAGAACAAACAGTTAAGATTACTTATTATTCTTGGATTACATCATATCCTTACCGTCATTTATGTTTTTCACAAACGTTTTTACTAAAAAGTTGATACTTCGTTTTCGTTGTCATTTTGCGGTAAGTGTGTAGCGGCAATTTTTAGCATTTTTCAAGATTTAAAATAAAAAGGCTGCCAAAATGATGAATGTCTCAGCATGTATATAATAAATACAATACCACATGGAAAGTGCTTTGTACGGTATTTACGCACTCGTTGTTTTTGTATCAGAAATCTTACTCGTTCGCTGCGCTCACTCGTTCGATTTCTGATACGTCAACAACTCGTGCGTAAATACCGTACGCCAGCACTTTCCATTAAGTATTCTCTATATATGCAATGGTTACTTGCTTTCCGATTAGCTGTATTGTTTATATAATTATGGCATGGGATAAATTTTGGTATACCAATGTATTGTAGTTTGTATAATATAGTGGAACCTCTATTTAGGGGATACCCACGGGACCAAGGCAAGTGTCCCCTAAATGGAGGTTGGGCCGGGGTTTGTTAACAATCAACCAACAAATAAAATGTTTATTTCTTTCATTCTGCCTCGGAATCTGCTGCAGACATTATTTCAAGCAGCTAGATAATGTATAAAAAATCATGATTAACTTATCTCTGAAATGGTGTGTGTTGAATCCTACAAGTGCAGTACAAAGATTTAAGTGAGATTGTTCATGTTGTGAAAGTTGTCTCCACTGTGACTAGTGTACACCTTAACTTATCAAAGATTTTAGTGGTGAGTCAGTTTTTGAGTGCTAATATGTCCCCCGAACGGAGGTTAAATCCCTGTTTTAGGACACAGAAAAAGTGTCCCTTTCCCCTGAATAAACGGGGCTCTTCAACACAAAGATTATGGGGACATTTTTCCGTGACCACATTTTCTGATCCCTGGACGGAGGTCTCCCTTGAATAGAGGTGTCCCAAAGGAAATGTTCTCCTGTACATTCAAACAGAACTTTAGTTTTGTTTCTAGACATCGGTGCATTTTAAAACCTCACTCGTCGATCATAGTTTGTGAATTTCGATCTTAAGTGTTGTCAAAAACGCATTCGTTTTCTGTTCCTGTCTCTAACGGACACCCTAATTCGTTTGAGGGAAACATTACGCATAAAATGATTTGTTTTGAGAGAGATTGTAATATTTGTCACCTTGCAGGTAAAAGAAGAGCTCCTTCTAAACGTCAGTTTCGCCCCATGTCGACTTATATAGGTAATTAATCGTATGTTAGCTTGCCTTTTCTTAATTTAATTTGTCCAAAGTATCGTAAGTTCATTATTTCCTTGTCTGATAATTGGTGTTGATGTGTTATAAGAGCAGTATTTTCTTTTTTACAGACTGAAAGCGGTCAAAATTTATCCAGTTCTTTACTGGGATTGTGATAGATACTCTTTTCTTTCTAGACAGCACAAGATTTGACCCTGAAAGTCTATATCATCATCAAGCTCTTGATGCAGGTATTTCATTGTTTTGCCACTTAGCCCTTTTTCCTCCCAAGTAAGTTCAAATACTTCTAAATGGCTGGCCACCCAATCCACCCTCCCTGGATCAACCTGATTATCTCTAACCACCGCAATCATATTGCACCGACAGATAGCAGTCGTGTAACTTGAAAGAGGATTAATGCTCCAGCTAGTCGGGGCTTTGTTATTTGTAACATAAATTTTGTAATTTCTTAGAGTCCTAAGTTTGTTATTTGTTACTAAAACTCTATGGGGCATTATTTATAGCTTGTCTCTCAAAGGGTAGTAAGTTGTTTTATAAATATTTTTACATAAGGTCCATGGTGCCTTATAATGTTTAAAAGATACACTCTCTTTTTGGAAAGATAGATAGCAAATCAATTTGTCAAGAAATTTCCTACCAATTCCTCTATTTATTATTAATCAAGAGGATTCTAAACCAAAAAACTGTCCGTTATCATAGGAATGCTTCCAAAAACAAAAGAGTGGTATTCTATTGTCTTTATTGTTCCAAAAAAAATATAAAGTACAAACTATTCATTTTTAACGTCTTCTTCACGAGCACTAGCTAGTTCATCCTTAAAAGGACTTCGCCTTTCACCGGCGAAACTAGTAGTATAGGGCTTAGCGAATTAACTTTTTTGAGGGGGAATTTCATTAATTCTGGGGAATAAATGAACGCTGATAAAGTTATAGCCTTTTCTCTTTGTCTCATGTATAAAACACAGAGGAATTCATTAACCTACGGAGGAATACATTAACGCCAATGACGTCATACCTTTCTTTTTGTCTTTTAATCAATGCGTGGGATTGGTGTAGGGTCGATGTGGGGTCGATATAAGGTCGATGTGTTACGCTGTCGTTACTTTTCTTTAACTTTATTTGCCGATCGAATAGAATCCGTACAGTAACTATTTACTTCTCTACACAACACCGGGATTTTCCATAACCCATCATGCTCTTTGGTGTCAGCCCTGGACTTCAACGTCTTACAGAAGCAGGGTCGATGTGAGGTAGATAATGTGTAGGAGGAAGAGGGTAAACGATTTAAATTTCCTGGTGGATGGAGAATAAAAAATTTTTGGAGGGAAATAACTTAATTGTGGGTGAGCAGGAGTCGGTAGTGGGGTAAGCAAATATTGGACTTTTGTGTTAGAAAGAGCTTTTCTACCTGCACCCTCATTGATATGCACAGCTCCGGGAAATAAAACTTTTATAATTGCGTTTTGACTATATGATTTTAAGTCACAGGCGAGTTAGCGCTTGTTTCTTTGACAAAATGAATCAACCAATGAATCTTTTTTTTATTTTTTAGTCAACCAATGAAAAAGCAAGACATTTCTTGACCTAGAAACAACTAAAAAAGCTTGTCCAACGAGTTAAAACCAACTAAAAATAGCACATCATCGTATCTAACTGAGATTCCACTGCACTTTATTCAAAAGATGAAGACAAAACCCTACGACTTCATTGGCCTTGCTGTATTCCTCAGCAAGTAATAATATTTCTCTGCATTCATTAATGAGATAAAGACAAAAGGTTATGACATCTTCGACGTTAATGTCTTCCACCAGAAATTAATGGGATTGCCCCTCAAAAGTGGTTAATTCGGACTACGCCCTATACTAACACTCTGGACTAAATTCTTTTCATTACTAAATAAAAAGGTCACAAAGACAGTTTGTCTAATATGTAAAAAATGCATTCACATTGTTGTTGCTATTATTATCATCAGTAACATTTATAATTATTAATATTATACTGATATTTTATTTTGTGTTTATAGTTCCCTCGGATATTCAGGCGCGAGGTTCTGAGGCAACTGAAGCCTACAACAACGCTCTCATGGACGGGAAAGCATATATTAAAAGAGTACCAATCATGATAATCGGGAAGGGTCGAACCGGGAAAACTAGTCTAAAGAAATCTCTAAAGGGAGAAAAGTTCGATCCAAAGGAACAAAGCACAGAAGGAATAGAGACTGATCCTTCATACTTCAAAGTTTCGACGGAAATTTGGAGAGCAGGCGAGAATAACAACAATAAAACTGATCCTGGGTCAGAGGATTTTTTCGAGCACAGTATCGCACAGTCGATATTTGGTGCATTAAAAAATGTCAAAATGGCTCAGAGTCCCCCCTTAAAGGAACCAAGCAATGATAGCTCTGAGACATCAATTACGGACTCAAAATCGAGCCAGAGACACGTTAAAGAAGAAATACCAGAAAGTATAGCAACAAGGGTGGAAAGACTTCTACAAAATAATGAAAATGTTGAAGAAGAGGAAGAAATATTTTCCATTCTATGGGATTTTGGTGGACAGTCCGTTTACTATGCCACCCATCCAATCTTTCTAACAGAGAAAGCCATCTATATTTTAGCTTGCGACCTAAGTCGTAATCCCTACGATAAAGCAGACACTCTAGTCAGAAAAGGACTCTATAGGAACAAAGAAGACACTTGCTGCAACAACACAAACATAGACTATCTTGACTTTTGGCTGTCATCAGTTTATTCTTTGGTCAGTCCAGAAGCTCTTGGTCAGGACTCCTCTGAGTCCCACACCTCATCTGCAAGATTGCCTCCAGTTTTTTTGGTGTGTACTCATGCAGATGAACCTTACAGTAAAACCACCGATCCTAGCGATTTGGCGCTCGATATCTATGGATTTCTCCGAACCAAGCCTTATGAACACCATTTGTTCAAGGACGTCTTTGTTGTCGACAACACGAAGTCAGGGAACATAAACGAGTGCCAAGAGGTAGTGCGCCTTAGAGAAGAATTACTTTCTGTTGCCCAAGGTCTTCCTCAGATGAAGGAGGCCGTTCCATTAAAGTGGTTAAGGTTTGAACATATTCTCCGGCTTTTACGCGACGATCACTACAAATTGATGGCCATTAGTGAAGCAAGGCAGATTGCCACTGATAAATGCGGGATTGACGACGATCAACAATTCAGGACTATGCTTGACTTTTTGCATGATCAGAAGGTTATAATTCATTTTACGGAAACAAAAGAACTTAACAACTTGGTAATTTTGGACCCCCAGTGGCTCATTGATATGTTCAAGAAAGTAATCACTATTAGGCGTTACAAGCATACAGAAGACAACGTTGAACGGTTTTGGCGCAAGCTGCAGGAGACTGGAATCTTGGATGAAAGACTCCTTGATCACGAGTGGAAACAGTTGATTGATAAATACAGTAAAGAAACAGTTAAGAGCCTCATCGCGATAATGGAAAGATTCAGCTTGCTCTGTCCCTGGCCATCTGACGGAGAAAACATACAATACCTTGTGCCATCCATGTTGATGTCACCCCCTACAAATGACCTCCTGGAGCTCCTTGCTTCTGTGAGAACGCCTTCACTTTTTGTGAGGTTTGAAGTAGGTCGAGTGCCTCCAGGCCTGTTCACGCGACTAGTACTACAGTTTTACCAATGTTGTCACGAAGAGTGGAAGAGCCAGATACAACCCCAGCTGTTCAGGAATTTTGCTCGGTTCCACATCCTTCCCGATGAAGGAACGTCTGTCATTATCATGGCCCATTCGTCCTCTATCGAAATCGTTGTTCACGATGGAAGCGATATTTCGGAAGCAAATGCTGGTTGTAATCCTGGTCTGACAACAAGTCGTAAAATGCATTTTCAACTGAGACTGATTCTCGAGCGCATGCGCAGAGAGTTTAGCTGGCTGAAGTACATGAGATACGAAATGTGCATCTGCTGTCCAGTGTGTTCGCAGAAAGGTTCTGTAAAATGTCGTTCTCATGACGTGCGCGGCTGTGAGTGTCTTCACTTGTTGTCAGAATCAGAGCTGCTAAAATGCAAGTATTGCACTCGACCTGGTCTTCGTGGAGATTGCAGAATTCGCATCAAAATGTTTGCACCTTGGTTTACATTTTCAGACCCTAACGAGAGCAGGACTCTAGTTAATCAGGTGAATTTCTGTCTTTCGCCAAACACTTTGTATATCTGTGCACAGTTAGTTTATAGTCCTAGAATACCACTACAACTACTGAAACAATCTCTTTAAAATCTTGGATATACGCAATGAAAGCATAAGGTATTTCAGGCTGAGTAGAAGGCATATATCTTGTCTCCATGACCTGAGTTTACCATAGCGGAAAACAACAGCAACAGCAAAAGCAAAAGTTAGGGTTTTCAAAATGCTTATTCAGAATTATTTTATTGTGTATCATTTTTTATCAGAAAAGTGCATCTGGATGCAGTGATGTGGGAGAAAGAATTTCTGAAACTTACCAAGAAGGTGAGAACACGGTTAAATCATTTTACACAAGTCAGTTGTAAATTTCCAATTCTGTTCGTTGTCTTGTATATTTTATTTTTTTGAAATCAATTTTTAATAGCAGACACTCGGAGTTTTCTAATGTAACATGTTTCTTTAATTTCTAGAGAACTCTCTTGCTCTTCCCCGTGATGTTCTTCAGTGCATTCAGTCTCAGCAGAGCGACCCCAAGGAAATTGTAGCTCGCTTTCAAGAATGTCTGAAGTTAAATCCAGCAGATCTGGAAAATCCAGTGCCTGAGACGAAAAGAAGGATTCGGTGTCTCGCTAATAAAGCTAAATCTCAAAACAGAATCGACGTAATTGAGTATCTAAGGACGATAGCACCTGCCGGTACTACAGGTACGTCCATAACAATAACACACTATGTTAAAGAGAAAGGAAAGTTTCGCTCTATTTGAAAGTTTTGGCCTGCTACCTACTGGTCGCGTAGACCAAGCTTGTGAAGACGGACGGCGAAGATTAATTAGTTGTTTTGTCAGGACTTGTGTCTTATTTTAAAACCCACGTTGAAAATTAAAGGATGATGAAGACGATAAAGAAGCTTCCTCCTCTCTTGTTCAAGGCATTCAAGTGCATGTTGTGTGCCTACATTGATGACTATGGCAATGATTTTGTTCGTGACTATTCGCCCGGATTCAGTGCTGCTCACTGAGATTCCACATTAATTTAAACAGGTGTTCGAAGATGTTTTGAATGATTTACCTGTACCTATAGTACTATCTTTAATAAGTAGTAAAGCTTACTCGAAAGTTCTGCGACTCACCTTCCTCAATCTTTATTACACAAGTAGTCTCTTACATTTAGTATAATGTGTTATTACCACCACTGTCTAGAGAGACACTTCCCGCAAGTAGTAGATGAGAGGTTTTTGCGTCATCTTTCAAGCAAGACGCGGTACGTTTTTTTTCTGTTTTTGACAGTAACCACCTCATTTTCAATTTGCCGCCTTTAGATCTTCAAAATATGTTCATGTTGAACTTAACCGACTTCACTTTCAAATACAGTGAGATATTTGTACTCGTTTTGGGCGTTATTTGTACTCTACTGAGTGAAGTTGAATAATAAATATATCTTATTGGACGGTTTAGTGTGTATGGTCGTGGGATATCTTTACTCGTCTCAAAAAAATATCCCACGATACTACTACAGACTACACTGTCCAACAAGATATATTTATTTACACTATGTTGTTTGGTAAACAGGTCCCTTGTTGAAAGAGAACCTTGATGTGCGTTGTATTCCCTTTAAAGTGAGAAAGGACCTAACATTTCAACTTTCTGGTAAGTGTTATTTTATTGTTTCCAGCAAAGATTTCACGTATTTCGCCAAAATTAACCAACTTAATTTGGGTATGTTCATCTATATACATGGCATTGTCAAAGTAAAATTCAAGACAAAGAAGATATCTAACAAATCCGCGACAACATTTACCTTCGATCTCTAGCGTACTCTTAGAAATGACTTCGAAGTTTTCAAACTCTAGTGGAACACTACAAAATTTTGTTAAAATTTATAGGAAAATCGCTTGTGTAAGAAAGAGAATCAATTCCATGGTCTATAATTATCGATGGGGATCAAAGCTCTCGCCAATCAGCGCGCGAGAAATCAATTAGTTTTTTTAGAAAGAACAATTACTAAATGTGAGAAAAAGTGTTAAGTAAAAACTTGCCGATGTGTGATAGTTACATATTTGTGCTTGATATACATGTCAAATATTCAAACACAAAAGCAACAATGGATATGTGAACAATCTATTAAAGCTACTGAATGAAATGCGACTATCAATTGAAACTTCTAATGCGACATTTTTCGGAGGAAGACAATAAACAACGACAACCGACTTCCCTTGATCGTTTTGAACTGTTATAGAGACCTGATGAATTCAAGTCCAGAAAACTTTGTTTAAAGTAGACAAATTAAAAGAAGGCTAAATAAACGCAATGGAGTTCGAAAGAACACAAGTCATTTTTGGTGACATTTCGACACTGCCATCGTCTTCGTGGTTGCTTAAGCTCCCCATTCTGGATTGCAAAATGTTTCTCCGTGTATTATTAAACAATATGAACTGAGAAAAGAAACTATTTTTTAAAAAAATACGATTAGTTTGATTGACGGGTGAATTCATGTTTGAACATGAAGCCGTAAACAGTAGATGCGCAAAAGTAAGATCTTTTAATACAGTGCATGTATTCAAACATGGCAAATCAAATGGTTTTAATCTTTTTGTAAGCTTCAGCATCAATGGTTTATCAAAACTGAAAACGTGGAAAATTTAAATTATAAGCGCAACTGTTTCTTCTTTTGTTGTTTTTATTGTAACTTATTGTATTGACGAAGTTTGCCCTAAGAGTGAAAAACAAATAAAAAAACTCACCGAGAGGGCTCACTTCAAATTGTTTTTTACTTTCCGATAAAACAGAATCTCATACTTTTAACTTGCTTTTGTTTACAAGCTGGCGATGAATGGAAACAGCTTGCGGAGACCTTTGGTATGTCTCAAATCGAGATCCGCATGCTGGACAAGCGAACCTTCAATCCTTGTGACTTTGTCCTTGATCTTATAGCAAATCACCGCTATTTGAGCGTCGGAGAACTTTACGACACACTGGTAAAGAGCGGACTTCTAGGATCAGCTGACTTACTGTAGATTATGATAAATTATGTTTTGTTAACATTTTGCTTCGAAACATTCTTCAGTGCATTTGATCAGCGAGTCGATATTTATAGAGAGGCATTTATTAGGGTTGGGAATTTAAATTAACCTGTGTTTTATGCCCTCATTGTTTAGCCTACGTTGCAGCCGCCCCACACATCGTCCAAACCATTTGTATAGACCGTCTGTAAAATAGTGCACAAAAACTGGTTCTGATATACAGCAGGGTCGCAATTATATATGTGAGCGTTTCTGATAGGCCGGTTTCTTACGCGCCTCACGATTGGTCCAATTCTTACGTGTGCGTGACGGTTGGGCGCAGTGACATGTCAAAATTCACAGAAATTGGAAGGAGCTTTTACGGTAAATAATGAAAGAGCAGTTCGAACTTGAAAGCATTCTTCTTTGCCAACTGATTTTCCAGCGTCTTACTATCGTTGCAGACGCACTGCCGCGTATTCTGCAATCTAGCCGACCGTTTTAGCACAGGAAATCATGATTTACAGACAAAAAAAAACTAAAACCAACGATAAAAAGGAAACACGAAATCGATCGTTATCAGAAAAAACTATACACAGTATACACAAGTGGCTATTCAGGTCCAGGCATTTCAGAGAAAACCAAGGAAAGCAACCAGCTTCATAACCTCTAAAATAAACGTGGGACTCAAGGCAGCAAAAATATGATTTGCTCACTCAAAGTTTAGAATACTCCGGCTCCATGCATTGCATAATCTAAAGCAAGAAACTGATCTCTGTTGTTTAAGACGACTCTAAGTTCACGTTTCTCGTCAAGAGCTGTGAGTCATGTTTGGCCTGTCAACACCTTATTTCAAATCGGTCTTATCACAAACCGCGTAAGAAACTAGCCAATCAAAAACGCCGGCATATGCTCTTGGGCCCCTTTGCGACTCTGCAGGATTCGAACACGATATTAGAAACCTTTAGCATCAGGTTTTTCATGGGAAACCGCAAACTGTAGTTTGCAGTTACGCGTTTGCAGTTTCACGTTGCCGAGATTTCAAACTTTAGCAAGGCAATCATTGCTTAGTGCCGCCATGTTGTTTATTACCAAGTGAACTGTGCATCACTTTTATAGCCCAAAAGAAAGGAATAAATCATTAATTCGTGTTCAAAAATTCAACAAACACATCGCAAACAGATATAAAAAGCTAGTTCGTGCCATTAAACGCAAGGCTGTGCAATTTTTAATGGCAAAAAACCTTGTCGTAAATCACTTACCGCTGGAAGCCCTTCCTGCCGTTCAAACGTGAACTGCAAACTGCAAACGCGACCGCAAGACCGTAGGCACTTGCTATTTTGCGGTTTGCGGTTTTCCATAAAAAAACCTGATGCTAAGCTGGTCTCTCTTCGCAGACGCTCTATCAAAAGGTTTAGTGTGTCTGCGACGCAGGCTACCATTGCTCCGATAATGAAGTAGTTTCAATGTACTTAGGTTTAAATTTTTTAAGGCAACGTACAGTTTTATAATAATTTAGGTTTGAGTAAGAAACCCACTGTGATGCAAGACAGGCCGATATACACTATAATCTTAATTCTTTTCTAATACTTTTTTGTAAAATAGTAAGATAGACAAGGTACATAGTGCTGAACATGTACACTGGCCTAGTTTTAGTAGCCTACTTCACATCACCGGCTAATCGTTTCCCTTCTGTACTTGTCGGTTTCGTAGTTTAGAGTTTCCGATAATTATAATGCCGATAATTATAACATTTTGATGTTGAAATTGTTTTTTAGGCTAGGACGTGTACAAAGGTATGTCTTCTACATAAAATAAGAAAAATTCCTTGAAATGTAAACTGTATTGATGTTTTATCTTTCGTTTAGACGGCAATGGAGGGTCTTAGGATTTCCTGCTCCACTCCTTAAGTACTTTTTAAAAAACGAGCAGGAGTGCATTGGTAGCGTAAAACTCTTTTAAAAACCTGTTAATACACGAACGGCTGAACGTTTCAAAATCTCTGTGACATAGGTCAACTCGTTCTTGCACTATTATTTAGATTTGGGGTTATTTTGGTCTAAAAACTTGGACGTGAAGTCTAGCCGTGTCTTTTTCGGATATAAAGACACTTATTAAACATTAATTTATTTTGTTTTTATTTTCTTTATGAATTATTAATGAGGTTTTGAATATGTGTGATACTACCATGGCACCTTTCAACCCTATTCACATCGAAGCTTCAACATGTTGAAAAACTGTTTAGTTAAACACGGATTAAATTTGTTATCTTTATAAAAGCTACTTACTCTATGTACTTTTATTGGTGGCCAATTTAGTGTAATTCAAAAGAGGATAAAATGGCTAGCTATCCTCTCTTGAGAAAAGTTTATTTGAATTGTGTGTAAAAGCCTGTTTTCTAACTTTACCGTTACCGATTTTATTTTTTTCTTGAAATCTAGTTTAATTAAACATATTTAGTTGCGTGATTGGGGAATAAGGAACAGTTTTTAAAAACGGATGTTAGCCACTGTTCTGGAAAACCGCTCAATCCAATCTGTCCACTTTCAGTTTGGCCAAATAAAACACGCGATTGAGGGGTCAGTTTTAGTACTTTGGTGTTACGTCGCTGGGGGAGTGAAATACCAAGATGTAGTTTTGCCAACTAAGTTGATGAGGTAGATGGCCATTTGAAGGGAGAAGCTTCGATCGCTTACCCTGTTCGTCAGAGCGATACAGGAGGGGATAGTGGGTGGTTTGTGGTTTATATATGTTGTGGTTCAATTTTATCCTTTGCTTAAATTTTATTTTCCTTTGTTTTTGGGTATGGTAATGTATGATAATGAGTTTGAAAGAAAGGAAAATAAAATTTAAACCAAGGATAAAATTGAAGCACAACATATACCCGAAGTTGAAGCTTTGTTATTGGGAGGAACATGGAAACAGGGAAAACAAGAACAAGTTAGCTGAAAGAAAAGCCTTCGATGACTCGATGACAAATGTCGCAACTTTAGCTTCTTTTATAAGAAATCTTTGACTCTTCTCTTTAAGGTGTGGCCTGGTTAAATTTTACAACAAGTTTGCCTTTCCATTCCTCCTTTAATCCTTCAAAAGAGACTTCCGTCACAATAAGATGTTCTAATTACAATGCTGTATGATTAAACGTAAGCAAATTTTTCAGTGAGACCTTAAACTGTAAACCACAGTCTTTAAAAGGCAGGATTAGGCATCTCCTGCATCTTTATCCAGAGTCGCATAGTCGCTTTCCATTAAAAGCACTGACAAGGCTGGTGGCACCCCGGAGCCCGGATAAAGTGACATAGTGTCTTGGTGCATGAAACATCTCTAGACTGAAAACCGGTCCGCTGAGGTGTTATTAGCGGGTGTTTACTAGTTTAGTACTGTTATGTGTAACAAAGGATGGAGATAGATAACTGCAAATCATTTTTAATACTACTAACAGTGATACTATAGCGTGTACAACTTGAGTCTCGTAACTTAATAACGAGTAGGTTGAATTAGCGGAGGCGTTGATTGGTATGGCTTCACACTTAATCTACTTACATGAATAACCATGTAGTATGGGAACGTTGTATAAACTGATCGACGACAGTAATACTCATTCATGCATTTAGTCATACCTATTTACCCGTCACTTTTGGTGTTATTTTCCT